ATCAGGGATTGAACCAGGGGCGCTTAACCACTGAGCCACACCCCCATCCCTTTTTGTATTATATTTTGGGACAGAGTCTCACTGAGTTGCTTAGGACCTTACTAAGTTGCTGAGCCTGGCTTTGAATTCATGATCTGCCTGCCTCAGCCTCCTGGGATGCTAGGATTACAGGCGTGCACCATCTAGACAGCATAATTCTAAGGTCATCCCAGAAGGATGAAGAAATTTTGGAAGGTTAAGGAGTGATTTACATAGCTGGAAGGGAAGATTTATTATAAAGTAGCATAATTTGGGGCTATTGAATAACAATAGCCCCAAGACAGGCTTAAGTCAATACAACTGGTATAAAATAAAGGCAGAATTTAAATGTACTCACACTCTGCTGAGGATATAGGAAGCTGCAGAACGCACCACTCCCACCCTAACTACAAGAAAAATGACAAATAGCAAAATCGTTAATTTTGTTGAGCCCATGAGATAGATGAAGTTGTGAGGCAACCATGTCACCTCAAGAGACAAACTCCTCTAAGGACAGAGAGCTGTGCAAACTCCTAGCCTGGCAGAGCACAAGAAGAGGGGGCACCATGATGCACAGGGGTGAGAGGAAACCAGTTTGAGTGCCCAGCACTGCCCATCCACGCGCGGGTGAGAGTGTGAACCTGGAGGGGCTGAGCCACACTCGGCTGCAGACTCTTTCCCCAAGATTTCCACAGGGTGCTCCCAAGAACTACAGAGACAGCAGGAGACTGGCTCCCCCGGGCCCACATCCCTGGAGCCAGCAGGTAGGTGGCACTCGAAGCTTGCTGGGAGCACACAATGCCATGTATTTCCCTGGATTCCTCCCTCATAGGAATCAACATCCTTAAGCCACTGCAGGTAGGTAGCAAATTCACTCTCCCACAGAACTTGAAGAGGTCAGTGGGTATGGAAGAGGCACAAAACCTCACTCCTTGGACAGTTTTCCCTGGACAGTAAACGAAGGCCTCAGGAGACTCGAATGGCAAAGTATTCCAGGGCAGACTGACAAGGATACAAAGCTCAAAAGATGCATGAAAAGCATTTGATAAAAGTGAGCATCCATTTATGGTAAAACTCAGCTAACTAAAGCTTCTCACTCTCAAAAAGGGCACCTACTAAAGACCTACAGCCAGCATTGTGTTTAGCACTGAAAGATTGAATCTAAATCGTGGTACATTCATGCAAGGGAATACTAACTACTCAGCAAGAAAAAGGGTGAACTACTGATGCACCCGGCAACATGCATGAATCTCGGAAGGATCATGCCAGGTCAAAGGAGCCAGACTCAAAGGCTGTCTACTACAGGATCATGTATGTTGATATTTGGGAAAAGGCAAAACTATAGAGCAGGGAGCTGATCAGTGGTTGTCAGGGCAAGGGGATGGGGCAGAGGAGGGGGACAAGGGATCAACTCCAGAATGATACAAGGGAACTTTTTTTTAAAAAAAATTTTATTATTAGTTGTTCAAAACATTACATAGTTCTTGACATATTATATTTACAAGGGAACTTTTTGGAATGATGGAAATATCCTTGAATGTGCTGGTGACTGTAAATTGTGTATATTGACCAAAATTCAATACTCTTAAGGGACAAAATTTTCTCTATGTGAATCATATATTAAGAACCTTAACTTTTAAAAATGGTTCAGAAAGAAAGTGTCATTCTGAATAATGCTGAAATTATTGGCAAACCATTTGGAATACAACAACTTTACATTTCTCTCATGACATAAAAAGATGAATTCTAAATGGATTATAGATATGTTTGAAAAAACTATTAAAAAAAACTTAGAAGTAAGCAGAAAATATAAGTGATGATTATGTAGGAGATAAAAGCATAAATCAAAAACAAAGAAGGGAAGAGGTTAATGGGACAGGTTGCCAGAAGGTACAGGGGATGCATCCTTGAGACAGGATCCACCGGAGTCCCCCGCTGCCCTCCCCGCCTTCTTCCTTTTCAGAGTGTGAATGGTAGGTAGTTATGTGGGCACTTACCAGTTATTCATCACACTGTAGCCCTCTGTGTGTGACCCATATTTTACAATAAGGAAGAAAAAAAGAAGCTAGGGGTAGCACATCTGTAATCCCAGCACCTCAGGAGGCTGAGGCAGGAAGATTGCAAGTCTGAGGCCAGGCTGGGCAACTTAGTAAGACTCTGCCTCAAAAAGGGATGGGGGTTTGTGACTCAGTGATAGAGCCCCCCTGGGTTCCATCTTTGGACCACACACAAGAAATGAAAGAGGCAAATTTGGGGTCCACTTATAATTTCTTGCATTTTACACACAGGGGTATGTAGGCTAGGGAGGCCAAAAATTTCTCCCATTTCCTAGGTCAAGTTTCCATTCCTTATCCATGTCCTTACAGCCAAAGCAGCTGCATGATTTAGCAAAAGTTAACACACTCTGAACTTTTTTCCGGGTGTGTGTGTGGTGCTGGAGATTGACCTCCGGGCCTGGCACATGCTAGGCAAGCATTCTACCACTGAGCCATCATACACCCATCGTTTGAATTTTTTTTTTTTTTTTGAGACAGGGTCTCACTAAGTTGTCCAGGTTGACTTCATACTTGGCGATCCTCCTGTCTCAGCCTCCTGAGTAGTTGGAATTGCAGGTGTGTACCTCCACTCCTGGCTGACTGGACTTCTAAAAATTAAGGTCAGTTTGAAAGAACCTGGGTTGCAGATATGAGATATTTAATAAAAAAGAATAAATATTTATGAAATCTATTGACCTGGGACAGAGAAAGCCATTTTATAAAGCAAAGGCAGAAACCATGAAGAAAAAAATGGGTATTTTGAGAGTGTTACAAGCCATATGTGGGTGATCAGATTATGGGAAACTCTTAGTTTTACTATGTGTGTTATTCTGATTTTTGGTATTTTCTAGGTGGAATGTGTATCATCTAGGTGACTGAAAAAAAAAAACACCAGTGAAATTAAAAATAAGTCTCATTTTGAGAACAGTGAACCGGAGCATCACGGAGGAAGGCAGCTAACCCAGGAGAAGTGAAGGCTTCGTGCTGCTCTCAACGCTGAGTTTTCACATGAAACCTTACGGGTTTTAAAGGTGGAGAGCAATTGATTAAAGGACCTTGAGCAGATGTTGGTGAGAATGTGGCCACATTAGGATGTTGAAAGAGGATGAGGCTTTGACACCTGCCAGCCTTGGACGTGCAGGTTGTAACCTGAACAAAACTGTTTTCCGACCCTGCCTTGATCATCACAGATGTTAAGGTCCAAAGAAGGCCCAGCACCAGGTGGAGGACAGATGGAGAGCACAGCAGGAAGCCTGGGCCCAGTCAGAGAGACGAGGGGAGCCCCTCCACCTTCCACCCGGTGACTTGTGACGGGAGGATAGGAGACAGTGGACTTGGTGGTGTTCCTGCTGGTGGCTCCCGGCACTGCATCCTGCAGCTGGATGCTCCTCTGTGTCTGAGTTCCCTGTTCTGAGAATCTGTTGGTGTGAAGTGAGAGTGTCCAGCGATGATCGTCCCCTGGTTAAGCTGTGTTAATTGTGTTCATGGGACAGAGAAAACCTGTGACGGAATGAAATGTACAGAGGTCTGTACCCCGAAAACCCTGGCCTAGTTTTACTCCCCTCTCTGCTCTCTAAATATTTCATGGCACCGTTTCTGTCACTCCAGGGGCCTTCGGGACAGTGGCTACTCCTCACCTTGGCACATAAAGACCTGCTTTTCCTTCTACAGAGCAGCGCCCTCATTACCACATACTCCAGTGTACAAACCAGCTGAGTTCTCTGACACTAGGCACGCTATTTCATGGTTCTGGGCGTGTATAGTCTGGTCAATATTATCAGCTGTCTACTGTGTGCCAGGCGCTGTGCTAAACTATGACCCCTCCTCAGAGCATCCTGTTGAAGTCTTGGTTGTTGTCTCCATACATGAGAGGACTGAGGTTCAAAGAAATGAAATAATTCGCCTAGGCTCACACAGCTAAGTGACAGAGTTGGGATGGGAATGCAGGTTTAACTCCAAAGCCTGACTTTTTCTTGTTAAAATATAGAAAAAATGTATCACATAGCCTTTTTAAAGTGTTATCATTCTGCAACATTAAATACGTTCACTTTGTTAGGCAACTATCACTACTATCTATCTTCAGAATTTAACTTTTCCCATCTAAGACTCTGTATCCATCAAACACTAACTCCCCATTTCCCCTCCCTGGAGTCCCTGGAACTACCCCCCTAATCTTGTCTATGGATTTGACTGCTCCGGCTAGCTTGTGTAAGTGCAGTCAACCAAATTTGTCCTTTTGTGACTGGCTTATTTTATTGAACTATTAGTATTTTTATCTTTGATCACTACCCAGGCCGGCAGCTGGCAGGTATCTTTACTGTAAAGTTATTCTCTATTCTCCTTGTAAAAATAAATATCTTTGAGTCAGTACATCTCTCTTTCCTCACCAACCCTTCACTCACTGAATTCTCAGCATCCGCTGATGTTTCTTTACTGAATTAACTACTATTATAGTTGCTGAATGGCGACTTTTTAGTGTAGTGTTATTGTCATTTCTTTTGCATCTAGTAGTTGTATTTGTACTATAAAGTACTTTCTCTTTCCATTTATTTTTAACAGCATGGATTTATGAGTGCATATTGTATTCAATAGTTTTTTTTGGGGGGGGATTGATCTCAGGGGCACTCAACCACTGAGCCACATCTCCAGCCCTATTTTGTATTTTATTTAGAGTCTCACTGAATTGCTTGGCACCTTACTAAGTTGCTTTGAACTCTCAATCCTCCTGTCTCAGCTTCTGGAGCTGCTGGGATTACAGGCATGGGCCACCATGCCCAGCTATTCAATAGGTTTTAACATGCTACTGTCATTATTTTAATGATCAGAATTTTCCAGTTTGCCCAGTAGGAGCCACTTCAAAGTGGTTTCTGTTTTTTTTTTTTAATTTTTATTTTTTTGGAGTACCAGGAATGGAACCCAGGTCACTTCCCACTGAGCTACATCTCCACTTCTTTTTATTTTATATTTTCAGATAGGGACTTGCTCAATGGCTGAGGGTCTGGCTATGTAAGTTGCTGAGACTACCTTGTATTTGTGACTGTCCTGCCTCAGCCTCCTGAGTCCCAGGGATTAGGGGTGTGCCACCAAGCCTTTTAACATCACTTCATGATTGCCTGAGTACTTCCTTACTTTATGACATAAAAGGTGCCCCAAGTTCAGTTCATGTTAGTTTCAACCTGGATTCAACAATCCGAATACAGCAGACCTAGGACGGTGGTGCACACCTGTATTCCCAGTGGCTGAGGCAGAAGGGTCTGGAGTTCAAAGCCAGCCTCAACAAAAACGAGGTGCTAAGCAACTCAGGGAGACCCTATCTCTAAATAAAATACAAAATAGGGCTGGGTTGTGGCTCAGTGGTTGAGTGCCCCTCAGTTCAATCCCCAGTATCCTCCTAAAAAGGCTACCCCTAAATGTTTAAAATGCAAAAACAGAGTAAGTTATTCAGGTTGCTTCTTGGGCCTATTCTCACGCCTGTGCCTGTTTGAGACTTTACCCAGTTTGTTACCAGATTCGTTAAGTATCAGCCCCCAAGGAGGAAGTGTGCATTTTATGGCCAATTAAGCATTAGCTGTGAACCTGAGCATCCCTGAGAGGGGATACAGAGAGGAGCAAACCCTGATGTGCATTGCAGGATTGCAGGGCTTTCTCCTCTCAGACACTAAGGGCCTGCCAGTGTGGGAGCTCTGTCTGGAGGGAGGAGAGTTTTACATATTTCTCTCTAATGGTAACAGAAGTGAGACTGTTGTTGTGAAAAGACACACGGTTTAGAATGCACCATATGGCCCTGAGAGGTGTTCATCACTGCAGCCTCTCATGGCTGAACTCAGAATGGCTCATATTTCTGCATTGATGGAGGATGAGCCATTGACTGCCAGGAAATACCCATTGTAGCAGCTCTTCAGCCATGTAATTTAAAATAATTACTAATTAAATGAAAATAAAATAGAGTCCATAATAACAATAATAACCACTGTAGCATTGGTCATTACCCAAGTACTGCTTGCTGGAGCGTTACCTAGGGGAAGATCGCCTGCGAAAGGAGAGGGACTTCCAGGCAGCCGGCGGCTTTGTCGCTGCTGTTGAGCAAGGAGGAGGAGCCACCTCGGTGCCACAGACCTCATTTTCTATTCCCCCTCTATTGCTGATCTCATATGGTTTCAAGGAATTTGTTCACTAGTACAGAAGGCAGGATGCTATTGAAAAATCAAGGCAAAGGGACAGCCATGGGGCACTTGGTGAGGGATTAATATTGTGGCAGGAAAAAACTCAGACAATTACCTTGTATTTGACGGGCATCTCTCTGATCCTCACCTAAAGGCAAGGCTCTTTTGCAAGAAGGCCTTTGAATGCATGTCTTCAACATTAAGTGGCTGGGAGCAAGGGATGTGCAACAGTGTCCATGGAGCAGGGTCCTATGACTTACAGAGGTCTGTGGGTACTGAAGAAAGGAAAAGGTGGAGGCTGTTCAGCAAGTTTTCTGGTTTTCTTTTGGGGTGGACTAAAAGAATGTGCATTCTCTTCTTCATTCATCCATGCAACAGATGTTTATTAAGTATCTACTATGTGCCAGATGTTGTATGAGGTGCTGGGAATATTAATCAAGGCAGACATGGCTGCTGACCTCAGGATCTGGCAGTCTGCTAGGTAGGGAGGAATATATTAATATGAAAGCAGAAAAGTATTACAGAGGGAAAGAAGAGAGAGCTTGGGAGGATAGCAGAGAGACTATTAGCAATGTGGCATTTCTGAAGGACAATTTGAGAAAGTGCCATTTCTGCTGAAGCCTGAAGTCAAAGGAGAGTTTGGCTAGGTAACTGCTGAGAGGAGAATGTTCCAGGCTAAGGTATGGCTATGGGAAAAGGCTCTGAATGAACATGCAACTTAATTTGTTTGAGAAACTAAAGAAAGTCTAGGGTGTATGGATTTCATTCCAAGTTCAATGGGAAGTCTCAGAGTCAGGAAGTAGCAACACCTGGTTTATATCTGTAAAAGTTCAGCCTGGTTGCTGGTGGGAAAGAGCCTCTGGGGATCAGGGCCTGAGCAGAGGCAGGAAAACCAGGGAGGAGTTCCTTTAAGAATTCAGGTAAGAGAGGAAGGTCACTTGCACTAAGGAGATGGCAGGAGATGACCGGAAGGAGAGAGATTGGGTGTTTGTTCATTTAGGCAGCAGAATGGACTTGGGGTACTCAGGAGAAGGGAGGAACTGGGGCACAGATACCTGGCTTGAGCACTAGGGAGAATGGTTGCACAGTATGCTCAGGTGTGAAATATCAGAGGACAAATGAACCTGGGGATTAAAGTATTTGGATTTTAAACATGGTTAAATATACATAACATTAAACTTACCATTTTGACCATTTCTAAGGGTGCAGCTCAATTGTATTTCTTGCACAGTTATCATTATTCTCCGTCTCCAGAACTTTATCATCTTTCCTACAGATGTCCCCTGCCCTTCCCCAGCCTCCACTCAGCATTCTGTTTGAGTTTGTCTGAGTTTGGCTGCTTCGGATGCCTCCTAGAGGCCCCATCGTGGTTGGTACACTAGTACCAACTGGATTTCAGAAGAGACCTCCTGCTTAGTCTGAATCCTACAGGCCAGGATGCGCAGCAAGCTCTTTAGGAATAATTTATCATGGTGTACCTGCCATGTTTATTATTATTATTATTATTATTATTATTATTATTATTAGGTACTAGAGATTGAACCCACAGATGCTTTAACACTGAGCTACATTCCCAGTCTTTTTTCATTTTTTGAGACTGGGTCTCCCTAAATTGCTTAAGGCCTGGCTAAGTTGCTGAGGCTAGTCTTGAACTTGAGATCCTCCTGCTTCAGCTTCCGGAGTCGCTGGGATTACAGTCATGCAGCCATGTGCCTGACTCCATGTTTGTTCTTAAAGGTTCCTATTCCTACCCGGCTGCTCACTGTTTGAGGATATGACCATTCTGGTGAACACTCTGCACCTGGTTCTCTCCTTTCTAATACATGTTGTTGCTTAGTAGAAAATTAATGAAGAATAACCAAATATGAGCTGCAAACAAAAGTGATGGGAAAAGGGAAGTTTTTTGTTGTTTTGGGGGGAAGGTATATCTGGTGAAAATCAAATATTTTTGACAATCTTTAGAGTGCATGGAAGGCATTTTGTTTGTTTTTCCTTTTCTTTTTGGTAACAAAGAAAATGCAGTTTTAAAGTGTTTTCCAATTTCTCTCTGAGCTCCCTTTCGTTCTCTGATTTCTTAACTCCTAATGGGGTAATATAAACCAGTTTTCTGTCGTCTTATTATTCTTCAAAGCTGTCGATTTACTCTGAACACAACGAAAGCAAAGATGTTATTAAAATAAAACAACTTCCAATTGAGCTGCTAATAAATGCTGAAATGCATCCACATTTTGCCTATTGATTATCTCCAGCCGACAAAAGCAAACACAAGCTTGTACGGCATGCTGCCTGTGGAAATGAAAGATTTAATTAGATGAAAACCGAATGAGCTGGAAGATCTACTGCGCTCGGGCCTCCAATGATTGTTGTTCATAATTGGCTGTTTGAAATGTGCCCCCTTCTTGAGCCTTTTCACTTAAAAAATTCCCCACAGTGCATTAAGACAAGCTCATTGTTAGACTCTTTCCCCCTGTGCGTTTTCCCAGCTCAAGGTTGTGGACTAGAATGAGCCCTGTCAGGCCATAAATCAGGTGTAATAGAACATCTTAAAATTGAGAATTAGCAAGCAAGAGCGGGGAGATTGGTTCCTCTCCATCTCAGGCCCATCTCCAAATGCTGGAGGTGGGAAAGAGGTGCTGGTGGAAGATGTAAGAAAAGGTCCATAAACTCGGAGAGTGGAGTTCTTTAGAACTCACTGGCTCTGTAAGTATCTGCATTTAAAGTTTAGTGTCTGGTAAATGCACTGATAGTTGGCGGCTGGAGTGTATTAAGAAGTTGGTATTTGCTGTGCCAGGAATGTTTCAAACACCTTTCAGGCATCTTGCTTTTGGGAACTCCACCTAGACAAGTTTCCTGCTTGGAAACCCAAGCATATGGTGAGCCCTTGAAGGCTCTGCTTTCTTTCTTCACACAAGGGGGATGTAGATTGTGCCTTTCTCATGGGTTAGTTATGGGGTAAAGCTTTTGGCACAGAGATGGGGCAAATGGGAAGTACTAAATGACTGTCAGCTCTGACAGATCGTCCCTTCCACATCTGCAGGTCCCAGGAAGAATATAACATTTCTTTTATTTCCCATAGCACCTTGGCCAATGTCATATACTTCTGCCCACCATAAAAATTAAAGGCCATATCAGTGGCTCAGTATTTAGATTCTCAGAGATTTGGGTTGGAGTTGACAGACATGTAACTAGTATATATTTAAAATCTTC